TATATAAATAATGGTTTTATCAGTCTGTAAAAGAAAGAACACTGGGACATCTGAATTAATGTTTCACTTAGGCTTCATTCAGACATGCCCCTTAAAGTAACTGCCATTCATCATTTGTGCAAGGCTGAACAAAGAATCAAGTATTTCATCAAAGTTCCTATAAATCACATTTTTTTCATTATGCATAATCATGTTTTAATTATAATTCATATTGCTGTGAAGCTCAAAGTAGTCGTGTTAAATCAACAAGCAATGGATGGATGSGGCTGAATGTCACTTCATTTTCCTGTTTGAGCACAAATGTCTATCGAGCACTACTATACCAGTGCAGTATCTATCAGCTCTGAAAATGGTTAATCTTTAATATTAGGTGAAGACTCATCACTGTCATAGCTGTTTCATGACTACCCTAACCACCAGATCAAACTTGTGATAGATGTCAAAAACATTGTTTGCTCACCTTGTCTAGCCTCCTCTTCCAGCAGGTCGGTGTGCAGAGCCAGGTACCTCTCTTCATCACACAGCGCCTCAATCCTGGCCTCTTCCTCCGACAGCTGATAGGATGTATTCCATGACCCGCTGTCATACTCTGAAAGGTCATGTAAGTGACCACGTCCATCATATCTGTTGAATAATAAACAGGATTAGAGAGAAAGAAGTTGACAAACCTTTTATACTAAAATAGACCTACTCACAAAGTTAGTTGAACCTAAAAGTCATATTTTACAACATTAAAATGGATCTATTTTATATCATGACAAACTTTAATTGCAAAACCTGAGACAATTTGATTGTTCTTAAAACTATTTAATAARGTCCAACTTTAATCTGTGGGCATAATATTATACCTAGCAAGCTTTCGGCTTACATTTTCTTCCTGCGCYTTTTACAAACCAAGAAACCTTGAATAAAAATAAAAACAAAAATTATAATAATGGAAAAAAAGACAAACAAAGCAACTCGCCTCTTACCTTACAGGGTTTAATTTGCACCCCCCCTGTAACCCTCATCATTACTTCTAAATCTGCAAAAAAAAAGTTACATTCACACAAACCCGAGCACATAAATACCTATCCGTAAGAACCAAAATGGACGATATTTTCCAGGGTTCGTCCCTCTATGGCATCTCTCTGCTGTGGGTTCTTCACGAAGACAAAGAAATGTGGTGCTGTAGTTGACATTCAAGGTTCGGAAGGACCCCTAAGCCTAACTTGCTGGGGGGGAAACTGGGTTATGTGATAAAGACATACATACAAATTATGTACAAATAAAACAGGTTGGGTCACTGCAGACCAAGGTGATTCAATAAGGTATCCTCTTATTGAATTTTCAAAATAATGTGTACAAATCTAAAAATATGACTACTTATAATTTCTTTTAAATATATATACAGGATTTTTTTTCAAACATACTACAGTTTCTCCACACTAAAATATCCCGAATCACCTCGACTGCAGGGAGTTCGACCATAATTAGAATTTTCTCTGGCTTTGCAGATATCAACAAGCACTTGTAATGCAGTAATTTATTCACTTACATTTTGAAACTAACCCGTTTGATTGGAAGAGAAAGTCCAGAGGAAATTCCATTAACATACCAACATGCAAAGCTTGATTCAAGACCAACTCGAGAAGAACAAATAAAATATTTGAAACATATGTGGACTTTAGTGTAACAGCACAGCAGAAGTTGGAAAGCTGCATGGCAGGCCTGTTGTGGCTAACGTTAGCCGAGGCAGCTATTTGCATGTTAGCATGTTTTCGTAACAACATTAGAACTTTTTGCTGTAAATTCAACACATTAAAATTCAGGAAATAGGCAGGAAATAAAACACTTTTCGTCTGTTTCGGGTCTTCTCAAACGTCTGCAATTAAAACGTCTTAGTTGTCCCTGAGGCTAATGAATAGTAGAGATAGTTAGCATAATGTTTCGGTCCAAGTTTTTTCAACCGACCTATCAATCATGATGCTCTTGTCCCCCATCCATGGGATAAGATGTTTTCCGTGTTCGTGGTAAAGAGCCTTTTCGTCGTCTCGGAACATTTTGCAGGCATAGCCGAAAACCAAGAGGTCCGCATATTTATCGCTGTCACTCACGTCCTTCTTCACAGGTTTCGTGTTGTGATCCTTTTTTGCAGCTCCACGACGATACATCTCGAAGATACACACAGACTATGTAATCTGAAAGATTATGTGTGATAATATGGCAGACTTTAAAAAAACGTAATACTCTTAAACAGTGAAATTTTAAAGAACCCGCAACGTTTTTGTTAAATTCAATACGATGAGGGCCGCCATGTTAAAATAAGTAAATGTAGTTTTAGTTTCCCGTCAGCACTTACCAGCACACACTATTAAAACTTACCGCATTAAGAACATTTAAAAATGTTGATAAACTGCAATATTCAAAAATGTACGTTTATCTATGGTATATTTTTCCAAACTATTTTTCTTGATTTTTTTTCTCTTCCCTGCTCTCGTTTATGTAGTTTGTCGAATGTGCTGTTATTATTAGGTATTTTCCCCAAGGAGAGGAGCTGGCTCTGAGCTTTTATTATTATTTGAGTGTTGAATAAATACATACAAATATACAAGTATAAATACATGTGTACAGAAGAGGATTACGGCCACTGAAATCAATAATAATTATTCTGACTTTTATCTAAGAATTCTGACTTTAATCAGAATTCTGACTTTTATTTGAGATCAAAGTCAGAATTAAAAAGAAAAAAATTGTATAGGTCCTCGGGACGGGTTCTTCTCTAATGAAACGTTTCGTCTCTCCTCCAAGAGACTTCTTCAGTCTGAGAGTTTCAGGCAAAATTCAGGCTTTTATGATGTGACTGATACTCACATCACATGGCTGTTGTTGACACCTAATTAACACTTATTGTTAACAGGGGGTGGAGTGATACTGGCAATGGCCGCGCTGTAGGCGGAGGACAATTGAAAATGGAGGCCTCCACCTCTGTTTAATGATGGACGGTCTTTCTTCACAAAAATGGCTTCTTTTACTCCTCTCTCAAACCAACGTTCCTCTCTATCAAGAATGAGAACATCCTCATCTCTGAGACCGCTGGCCTGTAAATGAGTGAAAACTGCAGAGTTCTGGCCATTAGACGTAGCTCGTCTGTGTTGGGACATTCTTTTGAACAGTGGTTGCTTTGTTTCCCCGATGTATAACTAACTGGTCGCAGTCCTCCTGGCACTTAACAGCATATACAACATTGCTCTGTTTGTGCCGGGGCACCGGATCTTTGGGGTGAACCAGCCTTTGCCGTAATGTGTTTTGGGGTTGAAAGCCACTGGGACATCATGTTTAGAAAATAAATGTCTCAGTTTCTCCGAAACACCCGCAACATACAGAATAACCACAGGTTTGGGTCTGGGTTTGGGGTCTTCATTTTCACCTGAAGGTTGCATGGAATCCTGTCTGTGTTTCCTGTCTGCTTTCAGGAAAGCCCAGTCAGGATAACCACACTGCTCCAGGGCCTGTCGTGTGTGTGATTTCTCTTTCTGCCTGGCTCCTGGGTTTGTAGGGACACTGTCTGCTCTGTGYTACAGAGTCCTGATCACTCCTAACTTGTGTTCCAGTGGGTGGTGGGAGTCAAAARGTAAATATTGGTCTGTGTGGGTGGGCTTATGATACACGCCAGTTTCCAACCGTCCTCCATCCGAAACCGAGACATCGCAATCCAGGAACGCCAACCTGCCATTTTTTACATCCTCTCSTGTGAACTTAATATATTCATCCACAGAGTTGATGTGATCAGTGAAATGTTGGACTTCCTGGGCTTTAATTTTAACCCAGGTGTCGTCAACATATCTGAACCAATGGCTCGGTGGCACCCCTGAAAAGGACATCAAGGCTCTCTAAAGTCAGAATTATATATTTTTTTCCCTGTGGCTCTAATTTTGTTGGAGTAACGTTAGATGAACAAGTACCAGCACATCTAATGAGCCTACAAAATGTGTATATTATGCAGAACCATGCAATTATATTGTAATTGGGGGTTTAAGCATGCTCACAAACAGCTCTGTATGATTGAATAATTTATCCTAGAAAATGTAAGGACCTCAGAAAGTCTAATGAAGCACAAAGTGAAACTGCGGTACATTCAAACAAAGAAGATAGATCACATTGGTTGTATCGCCCTTAAAGTTTCACCCCCTGCTCTGTTATTTAAAACATCTGGCTGTGTTGTGTTAAACTTTGACTAGAGTTTCTCAAAAAGACAGGAGCTGAAATAAAAGAGACAGGAAGCAAGAAAAGCAAGAAGCAACACTCTTTGGCACAGCAGGTGACCGCACCCAAAACAAAAAAAACATGCTAGTGTTGCATTAAAAGTTAGTCTTTAGGTTCTGTGCTACTGTAATTGAACAGTAGTGTATTCATTAAATCTGCACTCATTTTAGATTTGAAAACACAGAATGACACCAATTCATTTTKGCCCGTCCTACATCTTTCAATTATCTTTAAAAATAGCTGGTAAGTAGGTCATGTATAGGCTAATGCCAAGTTTTAATTAAGTATTGTGGGAAAATATATTCACAAATCAGTGGTATTGAATGTAACAAAGTCTTTATTCTTAAATATTTAAAAGAGCACTTGAGAGATTGGCAGTTGTTGCTCCGCAGCGCCCCCTGCAGATGTTTGGTGTAATCAGAATCAGAAAAAAAGGAAGTTGGTGCAGAAAAAGTTTAAACATTATAATAAACAGAAATACTGACAGATACACATAGCTACTTTAAAGTTATTCTAAAAAAAGTAATTATAGAGAATCCTGAACTGCATGATTATAATAATGTGTGTTCATTAGGAAAAGAGAGAGAGTGCTGTGTGCTACTGGTTTTGACGCACCGTAAGCCTCCAGTTAGAGAAGAGTAGCTGTAAAAGTTTATTTCCAGGGTGGGAAGGGTCTGCAGCAAATTTTCTCAAGGTCTTGTATAACCTGGAGAGAGGGCAGCTTGCAGCCAATCACTATTTAACACAACTGTCGTAAAAACAAACCTTTACCTGAGCCCAGTAATGGACATCACATGAAACTTGTGCTGCTGCAGAGGCCGACAGCATAAAAAGCCATCAAAAATGTCAAGCACTTTTGTGTCCATTGTGGCAAAAGCATCTGTTTATTAAAAACAAAAACATTATTGCTTCATTGGAATGTGTTCTCTAAACATTATTTAAGGATGACATCTCTACCTCAAAAGTCTAACTTAATGCAGTTTTCTCAAAATGGCTTTCTATACCCTAGGTGCCCTGTGGCAGTGTTGTTCAAAGTGGGGGTCGCAGCCCCCTGGGGGGCCTCCAAGTTGTGCTAGGGTGGCCTCAGAAAGCTGGAAGGAATTTAGGGGAAAAATGCTAAAATTAAAAAAAAAATTGTAATAAATACCTTAAATTATTATCATAAAATCAAATCTGTTTTTTCAATCATTATTTGAAAATATAATTTATTATAATAT